AAATGGAAAATAACAAGATACAATTGATCCTCTATTCAAGAGGAGGATTGATCTCTCCCAAATCTCTAGACGCCGCTAGAGCCCAATGAAAACCTAAATCTAAAAGATCTCGAATTTCAGCCAAATTCAAAATGCCCTAACCCTAGGAAAACAAATTATTTAATGCATACAAATCAAAAGGAAACCCCTAAACAGTCCCTACATTCAAATTTCCCTCCCAAAACCCTAAAAATCCTTCCTAAAATTCTCGTTTGGCTCATGCGGACCAATCGGCTGCCTCGGTTTCGCTAGGCCGGTCCCGCGTGGAACGGATGGACTGGTCCAATGGACCAGTCTAACAAACTACTTACCAGGAGAGAAAGCAAAAAAATCAGCTATATTTTCTTCCAATTGTTTTCCTAGGGTTATGCAGCAATCTGCTAATGTGATAATGTAACCGTAAAATCCATAAGAATCACCATCCTTGTATTTGATGCAAAAGTTTCCATGGAAAGTCATTTTGGTTGAACCTTTCTATTCTCCAATAATTACATCCGTGAATTGTTAAATTCAATTTGACATGCCTTTCAATAAGTAGAATGCTACCAAAACTCACTGAGATATTTGCTATTTTCTAATGGAGTTAACTAGTTAAATATTGTGCATTTACTTTCCCACTTCAGATTTTTTTTCTCCATTTCCTTCTTTTACTTTTTACATTGGCCATCTTACTTTGATGGGTCTCTCTATTAGCTTCATTTCCTACTCTTATATTTTACATTTGCCATTATACGTTAACATTAACTTTCAAGTGACATTTCTTACTTGAAGCAACTGATCAAATGATTGTAGTCAAACTATTTTCACGAAAGATAATTTTATTGTGATATTGATGTGCTTAAATATTTTTCTTCTTTGTTTTCTTGACATTTATCCTCCATTAAAACATGGAAGCTCATCCTTACTCTGTTGATATCTGAGTCTACTTGCAGATATTTGTTAACTATACATCTTCAATTTCAGGTAATGATCCTCACCTGCCTAACAAGATATTGGATCCTCAATATCTAAGTCGGGTATCAGATACATATAGGGATCTTCAACAAATAATACAGAGACATGGGCCATGGGTTTCTGCTTGGGTAGGTGAAGCTGGTGGTGCCTACAATAGTGGTGGTCATCTTGTGTCAAACACATTTTTGAACAGCTTTTGGTGATTGCCTTGACCGTTCTTTCAACTTTAGGCTTCGTTTGGGACGGCTTTCTCACTGCTTCTTAAAACAACTTTTTAGTATAAAAATTAAAATTTTTGGATTAGAAAGCTGCTTTAAGAAGCAACAAGAAAGCCGTCCAAACGAAGCCTTAGCCTATTAGACTTCTTTATTGTATTCATTTTGTAATAAAATTGTGATTCAGGTATTTGGATCAGCTAGGAATGGCATCTAAATTCAACACCAAGACTTACTGCAGACAAAGTTTAGTTGGTGGGAACTATGGTCTCCTTGATACCGAGACATTTATACCAAATCCTGACTACTACAGGTTAGGGAGTACATTCAGCTTCTTTCTCTATGACAGATGAGTCCTGAACCAATATGCTTTAATATTATCTTACTTGATCTAAGCAGCGCACTGTTGTGGCATCGGCTTATGGGGAAGGTAGTTCTTTCTGTGGATAACAATGGGTCTTCCTTCCTACGTGCTTATGCTCACTGTGCCAAAGAAAAGGTTAGCAACATTTGACAAATTCGTTCTCTTATTTTGAAGTTAATATCTTTTCAAGTTAATTTGATGAGCTCTTTTATGATAAAGCTTTTTGGTAAATTGGTATCTTCCTGGTATTCATTAATATCCATGTAAAATAATAGTCCTTGATAGAAAAGGAAATTCTAATGTACTTTTGGGAAAGGGTTCTTATGTCTGTTCCATATGTCAATATGATAATGATTGTGGAGTTTTGCAGCTCTAATATGTGGCAAATCATTACGTGCGGCGTCCGGATTCGTCCGGAGGCGAATCCGGACGCACCACGTCACCCCGACCCCGGTGAATCCGGGTGATGTTGTGCGTCCGGGTTCGCCTCCGGACGGTCCGGACACCGCACGTAATAATTTGCCCTAATCTGTTAGGTATTAAACTTAATGATGGGTTTCCTTTATTAAAAAAAATTTAGGCAGCTAAATCATACACTGAAATCTTCAAAATATCCCTAATGAAACAGTTAAATCCTAAACTACATCAAAATGATGTAGGAGGATTTATGTCCGAAAAAACATAAAATCTCAGACCTTTTTGTTCTTATTGAGTTCTCTTTCAATCACATTACTATAAACTTCATTTCAGGCTGGAGTATCTTTGGTCCTAATCAACTTGAACAACACTGAGTTCAGAATCACAGTCCAAAAGGTGATGAAAAACAAAATGAACGAGGATTATGAAACTAAGAATAATGGCTCTCTTTCTGATGGTTTGAAGAAGATGGCTTCCCGGATTGGAATGGAAGCACCCTCCAGCTCAATCAAGCGAGAAGAGTATCATCTAACAGCAAAAGATGGTAACCATAGAAGTAGAACAATGTTGCTAAATGGAAGAACTCTGGAACTTTCTGAAGATGGACAAATTCCAGATTTAGTTCCTTCCTATGTATACAGCAATTCGCCAATTATAGTAGCTCCTCTCTCCATTGTATTTGTTGTGATTCCAAACTTTGATGCTGAAGCTTGTTCATAACAACATATATATAGTTCCTGCCATGTACCTTCTGATGCCAAAGAGAGCTCTATCTATGTAACAATCTAATTTTATGTTTAAATCACAAATTGCTCTAAGATTAAGTAATATTGTGGTGTAGACACATCAAGTTGTGATGTCATTTTTTTGAGAAGAAGCTGGTCTTTAAACGCCTGCTGTATGTTATGTCATTTTGAAGGAGAATGTGAATTTATATGCAACGGATTTTGACTTTTAATGATTTATATAATATATTAGATATTAACTAGGGCGAAATATATATATATATATATATATTAGTCAAACAAAGAGATAGGAGTAGTAAGAATTTAGTTCAAATGAATTGTGGTAAGGATGAAGATAAAAAAAATGTTTTTATTAGAAGAGAATATTCAAAGATGGATGAGATATTTTGCTAAAATTTACAATGAAGATTATGTGAATATGTTTGGGTTTAGTTTCCTTAGCACTCTAAATACCCTAAATGAAAATAAAGATTTGTTTTTTTATCGGCGTATTAGTAAAATAAAAGTTAGAGAGGCTTTAAAGAAAATAAAGTGTGAAAAAACT